CGCCGCGGCAGAGCGCGCCGCGGCGGGCGCCCGCGGAGGGAGAGCGGCGGCGGGCGCCACCACCGCGGCGGCGGCGGCACGCGCGACCCGCCGACGCGGCCCAGGAGGGGCCAGCGTGCGGCGGCCGCCGCGGCCGCAGCCGCGGCGGCGGAAGGGGATCGCCCCCCCCGACGCGGCGCGGAGGGGCCCTGCGGCGGGCCGCTGCCTGGGCCGCCGAGGGCCGCCCGAGTCCGCCGAAGGCCTCCGGCCGTCGCCGGCAGCAGTTTCGGCGGCGGCGGCGTGCGCAGGAGACTGCTCACTGCCACGGCTGCCAGCCCACGTACATCTCGCTGAGGTTTCGCTTGCACGTGGCGGCCTTGAGCAGCTCGTCCACCTGCAGGAGGGCGCCGACTTCGAGGGTCGAGGTCGAGCGTCGAGGATCGAAGTTCGAGCATACGGCCTTCTGTGCAAATGTGTGCCTTTGGGGGCCTGCTGGAGCGCCCTCGTCGCCACGGCTGGTTTCCACTCTAGGTTCGAGCCAGAATGCAACCCATGACAAGCCCACACGGGCCGATTTGGAGGCCCAGGGTCCAGACTTCCAGGCGTCTGAAGAAATCACGATGGACATGTCCGTCAATTCGGGCTCCTGGAGGCCCGTGCGGGGCAAGATCGTCAGGAAACGACCCGCGACGAAAATGACGCCGTCGAAGCCTGGGAGCACCTCCAACTCCTCGCACTCCTCCACTTCCCCCCTCCTCCCCGCGCTTCTGGACCTTCGGGGTGCCCTCGTCACCGCGGCTGGGCAGGTCAAGATTGTGCTCGGGAGAGGATGGGGACCTCTTCGCGATTGCATCCTGGTTGACTGGCGCCGATTCTGGGGAGGCCCCTCCTGTGTGGCCAGTGCCCCCCCCCCCCTGGCTTGGCCGCAAAGGCGAATTCACCGAGCCTGCACCTAAGTTGGGCCTGGCCGGAGCAGATGCAAATTGGCGGCGACTGAAAGGGGGAAAGGGGCGACGAGGGGACAGCTTTCTCTGAGGGGCAGGGGGCTTCCTCGAAGGAATCGGAGGCTCATGAGAAGCCTTATAAAGAGGGCAAGAGGGAGAAAGGCTTCGAAGAAGACTCCTGTTTTCCTGGAAGGCCGCCCCCTTCCATCGGTGTTCGGTGTTCGCTAAGGGTACTTGCCCAGACGCCTCTCAGGTACCTCATGGCCAGTTTGTGGTGCTGCGTCCAGTAGTGGTCACGAGCACCCTCTGGGAGGCCCCAAGAAGAGCGACACGCGTCAACAAATCCTGGAGGACCAAGCGCTCGCCGCGAAGTATGGGGCGCATCATGACATGCTAGTCTTATGCGCCCTCCCTGGAGGCGCACGTCCGACCCAGACGTACAGTACAGACATAGTGCAGCATATGCTGTCACCCAAGCAGCATGAGTAGACCACGCCCGCCACGGTGCTCGTACTACAAGGTTCCCCCCATTTGGCTGGAGTTAATGGGTTCTCACTTGACTGTGAAAGAAACCAGTGGGAGCGGAGACCTTCGTCAGAGGCGGCCATCGGCGTTACTCGGGGCTGCATGGGTGTACTGTACCCGTGCGGTGCCAAGCAATGCCAAGCAATGGCAAGCAATGCAAACAAGTGCGAGGCAAAGCTAAACAACGCCACGCAATGACAAGCAACGCGCATCAGTACCATGCACTGCCGCGCAACCATTTGAATCGCAATGCTGTACCTTGACCAGAGTTACTCTGAATTGCTCGGGGAGAAATCGGTTACCCAACGCGGACCCCAAGCAGTGAGTTTCTAGCAGCCTACGCGGTGCAATCTGTGTGGAGCAGTGTATGTGGTGCAATAGGTACATGTGGGACAATAGATGTGGTGCAATCAATGTGGTGCAATGCACCTTGCCGAAGTTGAGGTTGACAACTCCACTGCTCGCGCAATCATCCAACCCTCCCGCAACTTGGTTTGCAAAACGCATGCAGGGGCGATTGCGATGCAAGTTTGGTGCTAGCTGGCACATCGCTGCGGCCTCGCGCGCTATCATGGCGACGTCGACAACGGCAGACGCGATGACGATGGTAGCGATGCTGAAAGACGAGGATGATGACAACGACGGCAAGGCGAATGACGGCGCTGATGCTGATCATGCCGATGACGATGATGGTGTCCACGGGTCGGTGATTTGGAGGGATTTCGACATGCGCGCGCGGCCGACGCGCGCGAATGGCCCGCATGGCATTATTTGACAGGGATCGTGCCCCCCCAAACACGCGCGCAATGGCGTTTGAATGATTTGGCGGGCGTGGTGTCACAAATCAAGGTGCGCCCGATCATTCTGGGATATACCGAAAAAGAAACACTGAAGGGAACACGCGCACCCTCTTGACCAAGCGGGCCGTTTGCAAGTTTCTCTGTCTCCAACCCTCTATCCGTCTCCATATGTCTGTCTGTCTGTCTGTCTGTCTGTCTGTCTATCTGCACGGCTGTCCGTCCATCTATATGTGTGTCAGCCTGTACACCGTGTCTGCCTGACTCTATGCCTGCTTATGTCTGACGACCTGTCTCTGCCTGCCCGTCTGTCTGCCTGCCTGTCTGTCTGTCTGACTGTCTTTATCTCTCTCTCACTCTGTCTCTGTTTCTCTGTCTCCTTCTCGCTCGCGCCGAGGCGCCGTCTGGTTTGCGTGCTCTCTCCTTCTCGGTTTGCTTGTTTTCTTTGTTCTCTCTCTCTCTCTCTCTCTCTCTCCGTCCCTTCATTTCTATGTCTCTAAGTGTGGCCTCCCATGTCTCACAATACAAAACTAACTAGAACCACGCGCGCGCTTCGCGCGCGCTTAGGTTCTAGCTAGGAGGCGAGCTTGAGTCAACGAAAGTCGCAGGGAAGGGGGCAGGGGGAAGAAGGCCAGAGAGCGCTGAAGGATACAAATACTGGAACCCTCTTGTGATTTTGTGGGGGGCCTCGTCCGGCCGCTCGCTGGGAGTTTGACGTAGCTTCTCGGGAGCCTCTGAACCTGTCGGGGGCCTCCTGGAAGCAGGTTCGAAGCATTTTGGGGGCCGATTTGGGGCTTCTCGGGGCCTCCTTTGGGCCTCTTGGGGGTCTCCTGGGGCCTCTTGAGGGGCCTCCTTGGGGCCTCCTGGCGGCCTCTTGGGGCGGAAGGCTCGAGCTTGCGGTTCGTGGTCCCCCTCTGGGCCCCCTCTTGGGCCCGTCTTGGGGCCCTCTTGGGCCATCTTGGGCGCCTCTTGGGCCGTCTTGGGGCCCTCTTGGGCTGTCCTGGGGCCCTCTTGGAAGCTTCTTGGGCCGTCTTGGGGCGGTCTTGGAGGCCTCTTGGGCCGTCTTGGACGCGGTGAAAGCCCAAGATGCGAACATGCGAAAAATATACGTTTTCCCATAGGAATGGCACGATTTTTGTTTCTTGGACCTCTCTTGGGGTGCCTCTCGGAACGTCTTGGGCTGATTTTGGAAGCCTTTTGGCGCCTCTGGGCGGCGTTTTGGCGCCTCCTGGGATATGTTGGGCCGGAAGCTCGGAATTCGAGAGTGGCTTTCTCCTTCTGGGACCCCTCTCGAAGTCGTCTTGGGGTTCTCTTGGGCCGTCTTGGGGCCGTCCTGAGCCACTCGTGCGCAGCCTTGGAGCGCTCCCGGAGGCCTCCTAGGCCGTCTTGGAGGCCTCTTGGGCCGTCTTGGACGCGGTGAAAGCCCAAGATGCGAACATGCGAAAAATATACGTTTTCCCATAGGAATGGCACGATTTTTGTTTCTTGGACCTCTCTTGGGGTGCCTCTCGGAACGTCTTGGGGTGCTTTTGGGAGCCTTTTGGCGCCTCTTGGCGGCATTTTGGCGCCTCCTGGAGCCTCTTGGGCCGGAAGCTCGGAATTCGAGGTTGGCTTTCTCCGTCTGGGACCCCTCTCGAACTCGTCTTGGGGCTCTCTTCGGCCGTCTTGGGGCCGTCCTGGGCCACTCGTGCGCAGCCTTGGAGCGCTCCCGGAGGCCTCGTAGACCGTCTTGGGCGCCTCTTGGGCCGTCTTGGACGCGGTGAAAGCCCAGGACTCCCCGGGAAGCTTCGGCGGCGTCCACAGCACCCCTCCTCCTCCTTCTCCTGCTCCTCCTCTTCCTCCTCCTCCCTCTCCTCCTCCTCCTCCTCCTCCTCCTCCTCCTCCTCCTCCTCCTCCTCCTCCTCCTCCTCCTCGTCTTCCTCCTCATCCTCGTCCTTTCCCGAGCCATACAATAACAACTTGCGTGGAATCCCTCTCGGGCCCATCTTGGGGCTCTCTTGGGCCGCCTGTGGAGCCTCTTGTGATTTTGTGGGGGGCCTCGTCCCGTCGCTCGCTGGGAGTTTGACGTAGCTTCTCGGGAGCCTCTGAACCTGTCGGGGGCCTCCTGGAAGCAGGTTCGAAGCATTTTGGGGGCCGATTTGGGGCTTCTCGGGGCCTCCTTTGGGCCTCTTGGGGGTCTCCTGGGGCCTCTTGAGGGGCCTCCTTGGGGCCTCCTGGCGGCCTCTTGGGGCGGAAGGCTCGAGCTTGCGGTTCGTGGTCCCCCTCTGGGCCCCCTCTTGGGCCCGTCTTGGGGCCCTCTTGGGCCATCTTGGGCGCCTCTTGGGCCGTCTTGGGGCCCTCTTGGGCTGTCCTGGGGCCCTCTTGGAAGCTTCTTGGGCCGTCTTGGGGCGGTCTTGGGCGCCTCTTGGGCCGTCCTGTAACGTCGGAAAGCCCAAAAGGCGACTTTGTGAAAAATGTACGTTTTACGAAGGGAATGGGTCAATTTTTGCGTCTAGGGGCCCTCTTGGGACGCATGTTGGAGGCTTCTTGGGGCGTCTTGGGGGCGTCCTTGGACGTCTGGGGTCTCCTGGGGCCTCTTGAGGGGCCTCCTGGGGGCCTCCTGGCGGCCTCTTGGGGCGGAAGGCTCGAGCTTGCGGTTCGTGGTCCCCCTCTGGGCCCCCTCTTGGGCCCGTCTTGGGGCCCTCTTGGGCCATCTTGGGCGCCTCTTGGGCCGTCTTGGGGCCCTCTTGGGCTGTCCTGGGGCCCTCTTGGAAGCTTCTTGGGCCGTCTTGGGGCGGTCTTGGGCGCCTCTTGGGCCGTCCTGTAACGTCGGAAAGCCCAAAAGGCGACTTTGTGAAAAATGTACGTTTTACGAAGGGAATGGGTCAATTTTTGCGTCTAGGGGCCCTCTTGGGACGCATGTTGGAGGCTTCTTGGGGCGTCTTGGGGGCGTCCTTGGACGTCTGGGGTCTCCTGGGGCCTCTTGAGGGGCCTCCTGGGGGCCTCCTGGCGGCCTCTTGGGGCGGAAGGCTCGAGCTTGCGGTTCGTGGTCCCCCTCTGGGCCCCCTCTTGGGCCCGTCTTGGGGCCCTCTTGGGCCATCTTGGGCGCCTCTTGGGCCGTCTTGGGGCCCTCTTGGGCTGTCCTGGGGCCCTCTTGGAAGCTTCTTGGGCCGTCTTGGGGCGGTCTTGGGCGCCTCTTGGGCCGTCCTGTAACGTCGGAAAGCCCAAAAGACAACTTTGTTGAAAATGTACGTTTTACGAAGGGAATGGGCCAAATTTTGCGTCTAGGGGCCCTCTTGGGACGCATGTTGGAGGCTTCTTGGGGCCTCTTGGGGGCGTCCTTGGACGTCTGGAGGCCATCTTCAGCATCTCGGAGCCCTCTTGGAGGCCTCTTGGAAGTTTCTTGGGCCGTCTTGGGCGCTCCTGGGGCCGTCTTGTCTGACCGGGGAGGCCTCCGGCAAGCCCCGACGAGCCTCCAGAGCCCCCGGTCCCCACATTTGCGGTCGTGGTCCCGGCCCCGGGCCCCCGGACCCGGTGCGCCGTTATATGTATACTCCGTAGCCAAGGAATTGCGCATTCACGCGGAGGGCTCCAAGACGCCCCGAATGGTCCTGATAGGCAACCGGCGTCGTACTCAACATCGTCAACATCCTCGCCATTATCTCTCTCCTTCTCCTCCTCATGATCGCCGCGCTCTGCTCGCCCCTGCCCTTCCTTCGTGCCCCCCCCCGCGACCCTGCTCGCCTCGCTCTCCTCCTATTCATTCCCCCCCTTGTGCTCCTACTCCTCCTCATCCGCCTCTTCATCCTGTCTCCCTTTTCATATTCCTCCCTATGCTCCGCGCCCTCCTCCCCAACCTCAGGGTCGGCGGCACCGCCCGTAAGGCCTTCGCAGTACAAAACTGATTCTGCAGCCAAGGGATTGCGCATTCACGCGGTCTCATTTTCACTGGTTCTCTTCTGCTGTGATTTCTCTTCGCGGCTGGAGCTGCCATGTCGGGCTACATCCTGGAAATCTCAGTTCTCAAAGGCCCAACAGGAGAAGTGAAGGTTCAGTTGAAAAGCGGAGAATGACATCTCTCATGGTCCCATCTTCCCCGTTTCAACTCCGCAATGGGTCTCCTAATGCCTGCGCGCCGGACTGATGCGCCCCAGAGATCAGGGGCCCTCGAAGAGGCCAATGGGGGGCAGGGCATCGCGCAGCAAGGGGCCGCGCTGCGATGCGCGGCTCAGATGAGGCGGCGGGCTGCGTGATTGCGCCCGTCGCCCCGTTGCAGCCGGCGGGCGCCATTTTTCCGCCCGTCGCCTTGGCCCGCCCGTAGCGCGCCCCTGGCAGCACGGCCGGGCTGGCTGGGGTGAGCCAGGTGGCGGGCGGCATTTGTGTGCCCGCCGCCATGTTGTGACCGTCGCCCTGTCCCGCCCAGCGCGCGGACCCCTGGCGGCACAGCTAGGCTGCCCGGGGCGACCGACGCGGCGGGCGGCGCTTGTTCGCCCGTTACCACGTTGCGCCCCTCGTCTTATCATGCGCGCCTGGCAACCCAGCTGGGCTGCCTGAGGCGGGCGAGGCGGTGGGCTGCATTTCTGCGCCCGTCGCCCTGTTGCGCCCTTCGCCCTGTCTCGCCCAAAACGCACCCCTGGCAGCCCAGCTGGGCTGCCTGCGGCCAGCGGGGCGGCGTGCGCCATTTTTCTGGCGCTCGTTGCCCTGTCGCGCCCATGCCGCGCCCCTGGGAGCCCAGCTGTCCGCCTGGGGAAAGCGAGGCGGCAAAATGCATTTTGTAAGCCGTCACCCAGTTGCGCCTGTCGCAGTGTTGCGCGCCCCTGGCAGGGGCTGCCTGGGGCGAGCGCGGCCGCGGGCTGCATTTTTGTGCGCTCTGCCGCGGCCGCCGCCCTGCCTCGCCCAGAGCGCGCCCCTGGCAGCCCTGCTGGGCTGCCTGGGGCGAACGAGGCGGCACTCGCTATTCTTGCGCCCGTGGCCCTGCCTCGCCTAGCGCGCGCCCCTGGCAGCCCAGGCCAACAAGGTGGCGGTCTGCGGCTCTTGCACCCGCCGCCCTGTTGTGCCCGTCGCCCTGTCTCGCCTTGCGCGCGCCCCTGGCAGCCCAGCTGGTCTGCCTGGGGCAAGCCAGGCGGCGGGCTGCATGTTTGCGCCCGTCGCCCTGTTGCCCCCGTCGCCATGCCCCGCCCAGCGCGCGCCCCTGGCAGCCCAGCTGGACTGCAGCCCAGACGATGGCATAGCCGCCAGACCGACACACTTGCCCAGACGATAGCTGGCGACGAGGCGGCGACGGGGCGGCGACGGCGACGACGTAGCAGCCAGACCGACACACCAACCTGGACTGAGGCTGGCGACGAGGCGGCGACCGGGCGGCGACGGCGACTACATAGCCGCCAGACCAACAGGCAATTTCAGTCTAATTCCTTAGGCCATAAATTCGAAGCCTTAAATGCAAGCACTACTGAGGGAAAACAGCCTAATCGGGGTCGCGCCATATTCAATTTTCGGTGTGCGCTTCGCCCCTGTGGAAGCGAAACGCACATAGTACAAGTAACTACGTCTGAGTCCGGCCTAAAATAGACGCATACCACTGCATACCATCGGCAACCCCGGGCACCTGCCCCGCGACCGACAGCCCGACGCCCCGGTCGCGGCCGAGGAGCGCGCAGGCGGAGTTGCGCCCGCGCTCCTCAGGCGTGAGCACCGACTCGCCCTGGTGGGCCGCCCTGAGGTCGACCACGGCGCCGACGTTAAGCATACCGTCGAGCTTCCTCCACTGCACAGAAGGCACGTGCACACCACCGCCATGCCTGACCAGAGCCGCCCTGTGCCCTGGCACGGTGCACAACTATCGACATAACGCTCCCCTGGCCGAGGTCGGGAGGATCCATATGTACACCATCCCAGGGCCCAAGGTGGCCCTGACGAAGCACGGTGGTGGTGTGCGACTGTGTGCGTCTGTCTGCTGCAAGACTTGGCATCAAGAGAAATTGGATCCTGAGGGAATCAGGCCCTGGACCCCGCGCACCAGCTGTCCGTCCTGAGCCCTCTCTTGACGGGCCCAGGGGACCAGCTGTCCGTCCTGAACCCTCTCTTGACGGGCCCAGGGGCCGTGGCAGGGCCCCAGGGGCACGAAAACGGCGACAAAAACTCCAAGACCCGTCTTCTCCTGGACCGCTCTGGAGGCCTCCTAACAACATGGGGTCAGCGAAGATGGGGTCGGAGAATCGCGCCACATCGCCGACGCATCGCTCATGCATCGCTGATGCACTGGCGATGCACCAGCGATGCGCTGCGGTCCTCCAACATCATTTGTAGAGGAAGAAAAAGCGCCCTAAGTATGAATTCTCGGAGCCCCGCGCGGATCTCTGAGATCTGCGCTGGACCCCCCTTCCTGGCGCGCGGAGCGTGACAGGGGCGGCGCCGGAAGTGCCGCCAGGGGGGCCCAGCGCCGATCAAAGAAACACCCGCGCGCAGCTCCGAACGTTTATGCCTATGCAGTTGTGCTTCTTCTTCTTCTTCGAAGTTGGGAGGCCTAGACGTTTGCACCGTTGAGGGGAACTTTGGAAGGGACCAACTCAGGGGGGTAACATTGACCTGAAATCGGCGGTACGTCGCCGATAGATCGACGATATGCTCCCGATAGCCAATCCGCAGGTTCCTGGGCGGGGTGCGTCTATCGGGCACGTATCGGCGATGATGCCGCCTTACTTTCTTCTTCGAAGTTTGGGAGGCCTGGACGGAGGAGTAAATGGGGTCGGATGATCGCGCCGCATCGCCGATACATCGGCGCTGCATCGGCGCGAGGCATCGGCGACGTCGGCGATGCATCGGCGCCGTCGGGGAGGAGAAACTCGGATTCTACACCAAGCTGCATCGGCGATGCATCGGCGATGCGGCGCGGACCCCACCTGGGAGGCCTGGATGGACGCTTGCTGCGTGGAGAGGTCCTCTCCACGTTGCCGATCGTGGCCCTGGCCTCCCGCACCCGGCTCTGCTTCTCGTCCTCGGATCGCGGGGGCGCCTGTGGCCTCCGGGACCACTCGATCAGCGGGTCCGCGATGAAGACGTGCAGCACCGAGAGGAGCGTCTGCTTGTTGGCCCGGTCCTCGCTCGGCGACGCGCAGGGAGTGACCCTGGGCGAGTGGTGTCTGGTGCGCGGCGTCTGGGGGGCCGCGGGGGGGACCAAACACGAGCGCGCGAGACGCTATTGTCGCATCGCGTTCGGCGATCGGGGGACCCCAGTGGGCCCGCACCGAAGGTCACTCTGGCAAAGGGTCACTCTTACGCGTAGTCGACTCACGCTGGCAGCGAGCCCAGGGGGGAAGGCAGGCGCGGCGTTGCCATTTTTTCACACCGGGCGCTTTCGCGCGGTCTCGGGCTCAGGGGCCAGCGCAGATCGATCCAGATCGAAACATGCCGCAGACAGATGGGGTCTGGGGCTCTGGTCGCGACTTTCCACGATGCTGCAATTTCTGAATGGCTTCGGATCCCAAAGGCTCGGAAGGCGTCTGGTCTTCTGAGAAGCTGCCCAAGCTTTCTCCGAAGACACGGACGGCTTCTCAGACGGCGCGAGGGATGCTGAGAAGCCCCGCCGCCTTCTGAGAAGGCCTGCACCCTTTCGCTATCCGACCCCTCGGGCGCGCCGCCGATCAAGAGCGACGAACATTTGTTCTTCACCGCGGACCCACACGCAGCCCTCGAAGCGTTGTATGCCTGCAGTGGTCCATCCACTGGGGGGAGGGAGGAATGAGGAGAGGGAGGGAGGGAGGGAGGGAGGGAGGGAGGGAGGGAGGAGTGTGGAGCGAGATGCGCGATATGGCGGACTCGCGGCTGCGGCCGACTAGCCGCCCTCGCGAGCGACGAACATACCCAGGCGAAGGGCAGCAGGAAGGGGGAGGGATGAGATCGAGGATCGTGATCGAGGATCGGGGGTCGAGCTTCGGAGCTGTCGAGCCTTCTTGGCGTTCTCTGGTCGGTCTGCTTCGAAATCCCGCCAGAATGCACCCCAGGAGGGGTCCAGATCCCGGATCTCCTCACGAGCGACGATCACACATCCATATCCGTGCCCTCGCGGTCTGACCACCGAGGCGTGATCCCGCGGATACGGGGTCCCCTGGATACGCTCCGCGCGCGCCGCCGCTCCGTGTGTCCATAGGGGGAGCGATCCCAGAGCCCGGACCCGCGAGGCCACGAGACGTGGACGCGCCTCCCGCCCAGGCGGTCCCGCAGCACCCCCATGACGAGCTCGCAGCAGCTGCGGAAGGCGCCCTCGACTCCGGTGACGCCCATGGCCGCGACGCAGTTCTGCGTGAGCCGGAACGGGACGGTCTCGGGGCAGTCCAGGTGCATGCCCTTGCCGAAGAGGCAGTCGAAGTCGACGTGGACCATCCGCCCCGTCTCCTGGTCCACGAGGATGTTCTCGCCGTGCCGGTCGCCGAGGCCAACGATGTATCCAAGCATGCTCCACAATGCCTGGGTCCTGCTGAAGAGCAGGCGCCTAGACAGCCACACGGAGGGGTCGGCGTTCAGGGAGAACCACCTGTGCAGGATGGGAGGGTGTCTCGGCAGGACCTGCTTCGTGAAGGTCTCGTACTTGTTCCTGGACGTGTCGAACATGTCCTTGATCTCCCTCATAGACTGCATCATGCCCGGCTTTAGAGACTTCCAGAGGTCGTCGATGATGTGGCGGATCCCCCTGGTGTTCGAAACCCACTCGATGAGGCCAGAGTCCTCCCTCAGAATGACAACATTGAACGTGCGTACCCCAAGATCCCTGCGACGAGCATCGAGATTCCTCTGCAACAGCTGGTTCACCATGAGCCCGAATTCCATTAGCCTCGAGTCCTTCCTGAGGTCGCCCTTCCTCTCCGACTTGCATAGGAACGGGTACGACCGTCCGTCGCTGCCGAAGAAAGTGAGCTTCTTCGGTTTCTCTTTCGACCGGATCACGTCAACCACGTTGTCGCACCTCTCCGAGTAGACCGCCTCTGGGATATCTGTGACCGTATCGGCACGATGACGACGGTCATTTGAAGACTGCTCGCTCCTCGCTGCTCGAGTACAACACGTCTGCCCCAAGCCCTCGATACCTGCCCAATTCGTCTTCAATCGTACCCCCTGTCGGGAGGCATCTTCCTTGACTGCCTCGTGGGCATAGTTTTCTGCTTCAAGGCCACCACAACATGGATGGAATACTAAAACGCTCCCTCGAAGAAATCTGCGGCAAGAGCCCCGTAGGGTTCTTCGCCGGGCGACTGCGAGGACGAGACCTGTAGAGTTCTGCGTCGGGCGACTGCGAGCACGAGCTCCGGAGGGTTCAGCGCTACAGGCACGAGCCCGGGAGGGAATTGCGCCACGGGAGCAAGCGAGAGGCCCCTCTTTGGGCTGGTTCGGCGGCGCGGGTGCGATGCCCGAGCGAGAGGACGTATCTGGCCAAGGTGTCTCAGAATGAAGCGCGAGGAAGTGTCGAGCGGGAGCCGTTGTCGTTGCAGTTGGGCCTTCACCAACCCGAGTGAATTGCGAGGAAGCCTCAAGCGAGAGCGCCGTTCCTGAGTTTGGGGCCTCGCTGGCCAAGGCGTCTGGGAGTAAATTGCGAGGAAGTATCGAGAGGGAGCCGCTATCACCGCAGACCAACCCAAGTGGTTTACGAGGAAGTCTCGGGCGAGAGCGCCATTCCTGAAAGCGGGGGCGTCTATGGCCAAGGTGCTTTGGAGCAAACTGCGAGGAGGTATCGACTGGGTGCTGTTGTCGTCGTAGTGGGGCCTTCACCAACCTGACTAAATTGCGACAAAAATCTAGAGCGTGGGCGCGCGCCGTTCCTGAGTTTGGGGCCTCTCTGGCCAGGGCTTGTCGGAGCAAATTGTGGGGACGTGTCGAGCGGGAGCCGTTGCCGTCGCAGCTGCGCCCTCCAGGGCTCGGATATGGAATGAAGCCCGCGCTCGAGCAGTCGCCGCATTTTTGAAGAAACAAATGTAGACTGGCGTCGGGGCGAGAGTCCCCTGAACCGCCCCCATGGATTAGCAACAGTGATTCTCCAGGAGTGAACGTTCGACGGCCGCCGCGGCTACAGCGATGGCGGCAGCGTACGGCGGCGGACGATGCCAGCGCACGGCCCCGCCCCCTCCCCTCAGGTCCAAAAGGTCCTCCTCGTCCTCCTCCTCCTTCCTTCCTCCTCTCCTCCTCCTCCTCCTCCTCCTCCTCTCCTCCTCCTCCTCCTCCTCCTCCTCCTCCTCCTCCTCCTCCTCCTCCTCCTCCTCCTCCCCTCCTCCTCCTCCTCCTCCTACTTTCCCGACGAGGCGGCGGCGGCCGCTGACACGGGAACGACCGAGATGGGCACCGCAGTCCTCACCCTCCTCCTCTTCCCCCCTCCTTCACAGCGCCTGGCGGCGATGGCGGCGGCCGGCGGCATGGCGGCGGACGACGGCGGACGACGGTGGACGGCGAGGATGGTGACCGCCTCCGGGGCGTCCGCGGCCCGCGGGATCGCGGCGGCCATCTGCGACTGGATCGGCACGAGGACCTGCCAGGCCTCGGCCCCGCCCTGCGTCGGGGTCCGCTGCGGGAGCACCCCGCCCAGCAGCTTGGAGAAGCCGTGCCTGTCCAGGCTGATCTGCGGGTTCGGGTTCCTCTCAAAGGAAGACAAAAGGCCGACGCTGACCAGGATAGTTTCGTTTCGGAGGTTTTCGGGCGTTTCTGTTGCACATCGTCGCCACAGCTGGACACAGCTCGAAAAACTGGCCATGGTAGACACCGAGAGGAGGGATCCATAGACCAATTCTGAACGGACTTGGAAGTGCGGGCAAGTATATCGATACCGATACCCGTCCTTCGCTTTCGCCGTTTTGGACCTCCTGCTGGAGAGCCCTCGTCACCACTGCTGGATTCGCGACGGATCCTATTCAGGGGAAGTCGTGGTATCGGCATCTTGTTGTTCCCCCCATTCCTGTCGTCCCGTGGCTGAAACTCGGCGAGTTGGATCAGCTGATCGAAAAGTCTGGAATACTGGACCATTATTCTGTTGATGTTTCCGTCCTTCCTCGACACTGGCAGTATCACATCCGTGGACAGGTTGGCCGTGCCTGGGCACTTCGATTTCCTCAGCTGCATGACCTGCCAGCCTGCCTGGTGCGGGTGTGCCGCCAACACCTTTGCGATCAGCTGCGTGAACAGCCCGCGCATGTCTGGATTGTGCAGGCGGCTGATGAGCTGGGGGAGCACGACGTACCACATCCACGGCTCGAGCGACTTGTCCGCGGCGGCTATCTCCGACAGGGCAGCGGCCTTGTGCACGTCCAGCTCGCAGCAGTCCCACGCCAGCTGGAGGACCCTGTTGAGGATGAAGTGGAGCCGCTTGCAGAGGAAGAAACAACGACGCAGACATAAACGTTCGGAGCTTCGCGCGAAGTTCTTGGATCGGCGCTGGGCCCCTCTCCTCCCTGGCGCGCGAGCGAGCCAGGGGCGGCGCAGGAGGCGCCGCGGGAAGAGGGAGGGGGGGGGGCGGCGCCGATCCGAGAACCTGGCGCCGAGCTCCGAAAGCTCATGCTTGTGCCGCTCTTTCCTCCTCGGACTTGGTGCCCCTCCGCAGTGCGTCGAGGTAGCCGCGCAGCGTGAAGGTGACCAGGTTCCTCACGTCGAAGGGGCTCCTCTCGGCCTGCGGCCCTGGGGCAGAGGCCAGGCCCCTCCGCGCGAGCTGCTCCTTCAACAGCCGGTCCAGGTAGGCCGCGTGGTAGAAACAGGCGGCTTCGTCGGCGGGGAGGCCCTCCTTCGCCGGCGCGCACGGCAGAGGGGGAGCAGCCAAGGGGGGGGGGGGGGCTTCCAGGCAGATGGAGGTTCTCAGATCCCCCCCCCCCTTTTCCCGCCCTCTGGGAAGCTCTCCGGGAAACCTCCGACCCCTCCCCAGAGGCGCCGCGCCTTTCCTGAGGCATCCCCCCTGGCCCCCATCGGCGTCGGAAAAAACTGCGGCATCGCTGTGGACCATCTTTCTGCAGCATCTCTCTGGGCCGGATCGATCCGTGATGACCCCGGGGCCCCAGAACGGGCGAAGACACCTGGCGTCCAAAAATTGCAATGCCAAGACCTAGGGTCGCCCCAGCCGTCTGTGCGCGCCACCGGGTCCTTGGCCGCCTTGAACTCTGCCTCGGCCACACGGGGAATCAGCAGCTCGGACGCGGGCTCGGTGGCCCACCGCGCGCCCAGCAGCCTCGCCTGAGGGGGATCGTCACATGGGGAATCGGCTCAGGGGGGGAGCATCGACCTGGAATCGGCGATACATCGCCGACAGATTTACGATAGGCACCCGACAGCGTAACCGCACTTTCCTGGGCGGGGTGGGCTACCGATCAATGGGCGATTGGGGGTCGACGCATCACCCCCTGAGCCTGTCCCCTCCCTGGCTTTGCCCCCGTTTGCCTTCGGGCTCCGCGGCGCCAGCTGCTGCATGTGCCGCAGCGCGTCGTGGTGCGAACCACCCGCGTAGAGCAGCTTGCCCCACTCGAGCTGCGCGCGCGCCAGCGTCTCGGCGCGCACGCCCAGGCCGCCGAAGCTCACAGCCGGGTGCTCCATCGCGACCGGCGCTCCGTGCTTCCTATAGAGGAGCAGCAGAAACGGCGTGGGCATTTGAGGCCCACGCCAGGATTAGGCCAACGCCGGGCGCGCCAGGTTGGGGCCGGCCTCCAAGCGTTCGCTCGACGCTAGCCCCTGAACTCGGGCACCGCAATGCACCATGGGTGAGCGATTTGAGGAGGCACCACAGCAAGGCCCAAAGAACAGCGGGCTCGATGCTCAAGAAATGCGGCCGTGTGCAATGCAAAAAACAGGTTCGCTGACACTGACATTGCCGGTCGGAGGTCCGTGCGGGTTTCCTGGGTCGGCGCTGGGCCCTCCCTGCCTAGCGCGCGGAACGCGCCTGGGACCAGCGGCGGCCGAAGCGCCGCCGGGGGGCCCAGAACTTCAAGGAAAGACCTTCGAAAGCTTACGCTCGTGAAGTTTATTCTCCGTCGCCTTCCGGCAGAGCCGCGGCACGGTCAGCTCCACGCCCGAGACCGCTCGGTCCAGCAGCCGTTTCGCCTGAAACTCTCACAAATTGCCCTGGAATCGTGCACGAGCCTCAGTACCGGCTACTCCCTGGTAGAAACCCACCACTAAGGTGTGCACGTGACCGTGCTGCTTCCTATGAAAATGTTGCTTGTGAAATGTTTGGCGGACTGTAGGTGGATTCGTGCATGGGGCGCGTTCGATGCAAATGCAACGCTGGAAGCTGGAAACAATGCCTTGGGCTGCTGGAGCGCTCGCGCTCAATACAAACTCAGTGCTGGAGCCAACGCCGTGGGCTACTGGAACCACTTTCCTCAATGAAAATCGGGTGTTGGATCCCACGCCGCTGGCTGCTGGAACGCTCGCGCTCAGTTCCCAAAAAGAACCTGACGAATTGGACAGGTACCGCATCAAACGACCCCCGAGCGTCTGTGAAGGGACGAGACCCTGCGTGGCACAGCCGGGACATCCTGCTTGGCTACCTGAGCAACAGGGGGATCACGACGATTCAGCACCCGCTGGTGCGCGAGTACCGACAGACAGCGGCAAGGAGGAAGTCAGCCCTCACTGACGCGGTCCACGAGGCTCCCCCGCGGGCGGTAGCCGGCTACCCCCAGAACTCAGAGTCCAAAGAAGAGCCTGGGCTCAGCCAGCCCAGCAGCATCGCCCGGCGCCCCGAGCAGCTTGGGCTGCCGCCCCCGGCCCCCAGCAACACCTCGGCCGAGGCCCGACCGGCCTGACGGCAGACGGCCCCCCTCTCTGGCAAGGCACAGGGCAGCGGACACCGCCACTGACGGAAGGGGCGCGCGCCCGGCTGGACTGCCGGAGGACTCCCCTGAGGCGGGGCGCGACCATGGCGATAGCAGCTCCAGCCCCCCCCCTCCCGGCGTCTCGCGGGCGATCCAATGCGTCGGCCTGCGACTGGAGCGCCCCCTGGGAGCGACCTCCCACTGGCGGCCCAGCAAGCATCCACTCCGAGAGGCGACGTAGCCCCAGCAGCTCCTCTCAGACGCCCGCTCGCGCGGACCCCTCCCCCAATCCCAACTGCCGCGGAAGAGCCGATGCGCGAGATCCCCAGGACGGATGAGGAACGCAGCCCGGGCGCTTCCCAAGGGCGGCGCAGATGGGGCGCAGCGGAGCGAACCCCGCCTCGGCGGCAGGAGCCAACGCACCGGCAACCGCTTCCCGACCCAATGCCTCCAGCCCAGTGCGATGCCAAGGATCAGCTCTATTACAACCCGCGGCAAAAGGTGGCGTGGCGCCCCACCTGGAACTAGAATGCCAAATCGGAGGAGGACTGGCAGGAGGGGGTCAACCGCCTCCAAAAGGAATGCGGCCCCATGCTGGCGATCGGCTGGAATGCCGTCTGTGACCATGAGTGGGGGCCGTACTCAGCCAGGGGCCCCAATCGTCACCCTGCTAAATCCGCCGGCCCCCTTGTGGGGCCACCAGGCTGCGAGGCACGGGTTCGCAGTTTCCAGTACCAGTTGTAGCTTGTAGTTTCCAGTGTTGCAGTTCTGCTTCTTGCTGGTTACTGTAACTAGTTGATTGACCGCGCGAGGGGAGGGGAGGCCCAAACATGATTTTTAGCACCCCCTGGGCGCGTTGTCTGAATTGCTGGGGGGGCTCGAAATCAACACCCCTCACGCAGATCCGCGGGGTCAGGGTCCAAAAACACATGGGATTTGCCACATTTCTGAAATTCGGTGCCACCCCTCACGCAGATCCGCGGGGTCAGGGTCCAAAAACACATGGGATTTGCCACATTTCTGAAATTCGGTGCCACCCCTCACGCAGATCCGCGGGGTCAGGGTCCAAAAACACATGGGATTTGCCACATTTCTGAAATTCGGTGCCACCCCTCACGCAGATCCGCGGGGTCAGGGTCCAAAAACACAGGGATTTGCCACATTTCTGAAATTCGGTGCCACCCCTCACGCAGATCCGCGGGGTCAGGGTCCAAAAACACAGGGGATTTGCCACATTTCTGAAATTCGGTGCCACCCCTCACGCAGATCCGCGGGGTCAGGGTCCAAAAACACAGGGGATTTGCCACATTTCTGAAATTCGGTGCCACCATTTCTGAAATTCGGTGCCACCCCTCACGCAGATCCGCGGGGTCAGGGTCCAAAAACACAGGGGATTTGCCACATTTCTGAAATTCGGTGCCACCCCTCACGCACATCCATCGCAAGGCGTGGTAACCCAAACTGCGAGTACTCCCTGGCCCTTTAATCCCAAGGTGTGGTAACCAAGCTCGTAAACCATACACGTCTTACCAATCGCCCTGTGTGGTAATCCCTCTTGTGATCAGTTGGTTTTGCCGATTGCGAATCGGCCTCGCATGAAGTTCCGATACTGCTGCACGACAGCGCCAAAGCCTCATGACTTAGCTCTTCCATGGCCCATTCTCCGAGAGAGGGGGGCCGGCGGCAGGGGGCGAAGCCCTTACGGATTTTGCCAGAGGTTCGTATGTTAGCTCAGCCAGTCCAACCACGATGTCCGCGGCCTCTGCAGGCACAAGGGCATCCGAGTCGACTGGGGCGCTGAGTGGCATCGAGAACTTGACAAGAGGGGACAAAGTGCTGAGCTTGCTTGCCAAAGGCAAAGGGAAGGGGCCCCCGCCGCAGGGGAAAGGCAAGCGTCCTGCCGACTCCTCTTGGCCCAGCAGCGATCCCACTCGTCAGCGCTGGGCAGCCTCGAGCAGCCGCAGCTGGTAGCCCTCCGCAGCTGCCACACCACTGGGACTTGTTCTGAGCCATCTGCCGGATCTGGGTTTTGGCCCGCTCGGCCCACTGCCCTCCTCCCCCCCTCGCCTTCGTGGCTCTCTTTTCGCCACCCTGCACCTATTCGGTCCCCCCCCCGGCGACCTCCAGCTTCTGCTCGGGGTCTGCCTCGGCGAATTCCTTTTCGCCACCATGCACCTCTTCGGCGCCCCCCCCCCGCAGACCTCCAGCTCCCGCTCGGGGGCTGCCTGTTCCCTGCGTTCCCGGCCCTGCGGCTGCCTGCTCCACGGTGCTCCCCCGCGCGCTGCGCCGCCCCGCCGGCCGTCGTGCTCCTCTTGGGGGCCCCTCGCTGTCGCACTGGGGTGGCCCCCTTTGTGGCTCCTTTTTCTCCGCCTGGGCGCCGCCCCTCCCGGAAGGCTGCCGGCCCGGGCTTTGGTGGGCTGGACTTGCCGCCCGCCTTGGCCCAAGGGCCTCCCCGCCACTCCAGCCCCAAGGTGCCCTGCCCCGCCGCCGCTTCGTCCCGCTACGGCCGGGGGTTCGCCGGCCTTCTGCAGGTTTTGTCCAGGCCCCGCCTTTGGCGCCCTCCACTTCTTTGCCGGGTTCCGTGCTGGCCGGGCGACTGGTGTCCCCGCCAGGGCCCTCGTCCTTTGCCTGGTTTTCAGGCCTCGCATCCATCCACCGGTCACTGGTGTGCTGGACGCTGCCGCTCTCCTGCGGCGCCTTGCCCCACCATCGCGGCTTGCGCCTAGTAGGCCCTCTGGTCTCCGCGCCCGTCCCGCCCCTGTGGCCTCCCTGGCCCACGCCGCTCCCCCTTTGGCGTGGTCCTTTCTTCCCGCTTCCCGCCCCCTGGCCAGCGCGTGGCGCGCAATCGCGCATCGCTGTGCCCGCCGCAGTAAGGCCCCCTGGTCTCCGCGTTCCTGCCCATCCGTGGGTCCGCGCTCGCTACCTGCTGTCGCCCTGTTCCACGCCGCTCCCCCTTCGGCGTGGCTCCGCCGCCTGGCCTGCTTCCACCGCCCTCACGCTGTGCTACGGTTTCGCCTTCCGCGGCGCTATCATGGCCGCCTGCGTCCTGCTTCCGCCCCCCGCCGCGCCCAGCCCCCTGGTCTCGGCGCCTCGACCCATCCCTGGGGCCGTCTGCCATCTCGGTCCTCAATGGTGTGGCTTCCACTTCGCATGTGTTGCTCCCCCCCCCATCCTGTCGCCTGTCGCCTGGTCTGCCAGGCCGCCATCCCCCCCCCAGCTGCAGCTCAGCGCGGCCGCTGGCCCCCCCCCCCCTCAGCGCCCCCCCCCGCCGCAGCCGGTGACTTGCCTGAGCGGGCCCGGCTTCCTGTCCCCCCGTCGCGCCGGGGCCTCCTCCCCTGTCGTGCATTGCGGCATCAATTTGCATTCAGAGCGCCCCCTGTCTGCCAATCCGCCGGAGCAGTCACCCTCTGCCCAGCCGCCGACGCAAAAGTGTGTGTGTGTGTGCGTGTGTGTGTGTGTGTGTGTGCGTGTGCGTGTGCGTGTGGGTGTGGGTGTGTGTGTGTGTGTGTCTGTGTGTGTGTGTCTGTGTGTGTGTGCGTGTGCGTGTGCGTGTGTCGGTGCGTGTGCGTGTGGTGTGTGCTTGTGTGCGTGTGGCGTGTATGCCGTGTGTGACGTGTGTTGCGGTGCGCGTGTGCGTGTAGGTGTGGGCGTGCTGCGCGCGTCGCGCGTGCGCGTGTGCGCGCGTGCGCGCGTGCGCGCGTGCGCGCGTGCGCGCGTGCGCGCGTGCGCGTGTGCGCGTGTGCGTGTGTGCGCGTGTGCGCGTGTGCGCG